ATAAATGTGTGAATATCAAGGTAAAAATATTACTTTGAAAAATGCCCCTCTATTTTTTTGTCTTATGAAAGGCTAAATAAAGCTAAATTTTGGTGGTAATTGTTGGCAGTGTAACCTTACAAACGGCGCCCCATAGTTTATCTACTTTTTTTATTGTCCCTGTTTTCAGTTTAAACTTTCTCCTCGAACTTTGTCCTGTTTCGTCACAAACACTAAATTAACAAGACAGTCTTGGATCAGTGTCACCTGCTCTTCTACAGGAGCTTTGCTTGGTTCAGGAGWTTTAGTTTTGTTTTTAAACTGATGTACATTTTTAATCGGATCAAATMAGTGAATTTTGGACACTTCAGAACTGCTCCAGAATCAGTCTCGTGGCAGCTTTTGTCTATTTTGGCACCTATTTCAGATTCAGGCTGAGCTGCGTCCGTTTGTGTCCCCTCAACATTAGATTCAAAAAGAGGCAGGAACTGGATGCGGTCAGCGCGACCCCCCTGGTGGTCTCAGTGAATAAAGGGGGCCGATCGGTCGTTCGTCGTCGCCTTCTTGAGCTTGACGCCTCGTCGGATATCCACCAGGAAGTCCTCCACCTCACAGTACTCTGCCTCCTCCAGCAGCTCGGGGAGGCGTCGGCGCTCCCACTCGGACGCCCGACCGCCCGGCTGTGGCGGCGGGGTGGGGGGGTCCGATCCTTCATCCATCAGGGTCTCCCACCCGCTGCTGGGCGACAGAGGGGTGCTCGGTGGACTTAGCGGGGTCCGTGGTGCGCTGCCAGCCTCAGAACCTGCTCTGGTGGGGAACCCGGGGAGTTCAGGCACGGTGGGGGTCTTGACCGGGATCATCGGGGGTTTTATGGGAATAGGGCCGAGGCTGAGGCCTCCTGAGGGTCGCCGCAAGTTGGGTTTGGAGGATGGAGTTCGTCGAATGGTGGCGACCCCCGGGGTGACGACGGCTGAGGGGTTGGAGGGGAGGCCGGCGGTTGAGGCTGGACGCTTGGACTGGAACATCCGCCGGTACGACTGACTGATGTCGCTGTTCCTCGGGATGGTGAAGGACTTATCGAAGTCTGAGGAGTGGTGCTGCTCAGACTCCTGATCCACACCCACCGAGTAGTAATCACAGTCCGACACTACGGAAAACAAAACACATCCAGAACATCTATAAGATTACTGCAGTTTATGTATCTGGCTATACGGCAGGCCATTTTAACATAAAATCAGATTCAACACCCTTACATTCCAGATATCATTTTAGTCAATTAAGTTGTCTCTAATTACCTCCTGAATAAATGACGTCAGATTAAGTTGCATGAATTCAAGATTTCTTAAAAATATTTTGACTCGTCAAAAATACATTTCCAGATTTCTTTAACTCAGTTTTGACGTCGTTATTTACTTCCGAAATATCTCGCCTTTTGTTCTGATTATTCATAATTTCAATTAAAAAGATAAGAGTTTAAATTTCATCATTATTCAAGAATTTTTTTAAGTATTTGTATATCAGATAAATCATTTCGACTAGTACAAATTAAATTGCAGAAACCTTAAAGGCAGGGGTGCCCAAACATTTTCCCTGAGGGGGCCAACATGAAAATAAATCTGAGGGCTGCGGCCAAATGCAATAATATAATACATGAAAAGCAAATACTTTTTTAGCAAAGTTGTTTTGTTTATGATTAAGCTAGCAGCCAGTGTGGTGGCCCACATTTTTTTTGTTTGTATTTATTTATTTTTGCTAGCCAATGGATGTGCAGAAAATCTGACGTACAGTTGAGCAGCAAAAGCTCATGGGMCTTTTCATAAAGTAAAATTTGAGTAAGCCTATTTGTGATCTTATTAAATGTGCAAATCTAGGTGTATGCTTAAATTGAATCTAAATGTCTAGTTACTTGCATTTTATGTTTAATTTGAATATAAAGATAAAGTAAGTGCCATGAGTTAAGACTTTCTGCACTACAGCCCTTAGTTGGGACCAGTGGTTGGAAGGATTAAGTGGAAATATAGTGTTTCGACATAAAACAGGAGAATACAACCTAGTAGCAAGGACAACTGCTGGCGGGCCAAATCAAAAGGCTTGGCCGGCCAATTTTGGCCCACGGGCCCCAATTTGGCCACCTCTGCTTAAAGGAAATAATGACTAAACAAACTAAGAGATATCTAGAACTATAATTTTGSCAAGTTGCAATTTTTTAAAGATATCTTACAATGAGAGATACCTTGCATCTAGATGGCTTTTCTATTTAAGATATCATTAATTAACTAGACAGAATAATTATTCAACATATCTTGAACAATTAGTCAAAACRTCACAGATTTCTGTAGCGTTTTGGCAAAGAATTTTAAGGCATTTTAGCCTTCCTGAGCCACTAACCTTACCTTAGTTTGCTATTCAGTGGTCTGCAGAGTCAGGGGGAGTCCAACGCAAATTCTGGTGTCTTTAACAAATTTTTATTTCTGCAGCTTGACWTGAATTAGCAAACACTGATAATTCATTGTCTGCCATTGCAGCCACCCACAATCTTTTAATTCAGATATCTACAACAGAATTTTGACTCAACACAATTAAGACATGTATAGGTTCCTCTGATTAGTCAGAATGTAAATGCAGATATTTTAAATTACCATTAGGATAATTAAAACCTAGTTGTTCTAGTCAACACTCATATTGACATATCTAGAATGTAATTACAGGTAGTCAGACGAAGATGATTTSATGTTAAAATGGCTTGCCGTACAGTAACGTCTGCTGTGTACCTTGGGAGGGGATGGTGTCCTCTGAGCAGCAGGGCGTGTTGGTCTGGCTGCTGTAACCACTGGAGCCCTGCAGAGAGTCCCTGCTGGAGCCGTGGATGTCCAGGTGGAGACCTCGGGCCAGCACCCGGGCCAGCTCCTCGTGGGCCTCCTTGTCGCCCTGTTTGTCATAAACAAAGAATCGCTAAGGATTTATTTTTATTTTATTTATTTAGTTTGTTCAAACCAAACAAAAATAAAATGTTGTATATAATGTATAATGTTATATTATATATATATATATAATATATATAATAGAATTTTACCCATTTTATCACATAACTGATATATTTTCTTTCGATTTGGCTGAGCCAAAGTGAAACAGGAAGTGACATCAAAGGGGAACACTTAAAGAAACAAAGCTCTCATTGTTTACTGACAATAATATTAGAACTGATTCTTTCTTGTTTTTTTTCTCTTTAGTGACTCAAAATAATTTAAAGAAACATCCGATTCTTCTCTAGTCAGTGTTGTTAGCCGATTTAGCGATGCTCTGTTAGCATTCAGACATTCCTCTTCGACATCACTTCCTGTTACTGCAAATGTGAAAACATCAACACCTGTTTATCTCAGTGGTGTGAGAAAAAAGTTGTAATATGTTAATTACGTTACATTTCCAAAAATACACTCATATTTATTGCAAACATTTGATGTCACAGGCCCTTTAAATCCTTTATAAAAGTTTATCTGGACCTTAGGGGACATCCCAGAGTGACCTCCTTTGACCCCTTGTGGCTCCTCCCCTGCGGTGGCGTCCRTGCCCTGGTGGCTGATGGGATCTGGAGGTTCTCGCCTGTCTTTGCTCCTCCTCAAGGTGTTGACCAAAGGCTGGTCGTACGGGCCCGGCTTGGCCCAGTCCTGAATACAAACACACAACCCAAAACAATGTGTAAAGTTTTGCAGAAAAACATCGCCAAAGTTAGTGTGTGAAAAACTGTTATCTGGATGATTTCAAACTGAATTATTAGCAGAAATAATCAGTTTATTTAAGTTTTATCGCTAAACCCAGCAAATATATGACCCATCACATTAAAATGAGGATTAAATCCAAAAGTGATATATGGAGAAATAGGCAAATATAGTGTTTAGACTAAAATATTAACAAAAATTGCAATTTGTCAAAATATAATGAATACATGCCTTATCAATGTATCATTTGAATGAATTGTCTGAAATATAATTATAAAACTAAATTATGAAGCACTTTTTTGGAGCAGTAGCAACAAAAAAACCTGATTTTGAGGAAAAACGCCTTAAAATTTTGAGATTTCCCCTGTGAGTTAGCATTTTGTTTCTTTTTAGCTGGGAAATCTCAATATTCAAATATAACTTGAGGTTTCCCCTTTATAAAATAAAAATTCCTCATTAAAATGACGTAAAATTAGGATTCAGACCAAATATTTATGTATTATTGTAACCAACAAGACGAATTAAGTCATAAATATGGATTTAATTATGATATCAGAATGATCCAGGTGTCAAAATGTAGCTTTTAAAGCCAAGAATTTGAAAAGGTAATGAGGTCATTTTGACCAAATTCGACTTAATCCTCATTTCGATGTGATGGGTCACATATTTGGAAGAAAATTATCATCAACATTGAAAAATCGAAGCAGCTTTACTCTGTTGAGAGCATCAAAGGAAATGAGCGGATATGAAACAAGGAGAAACTGAAGGAGAAAGGGGGCGAGGACATCATGTGGGTCAAACCTTCCAGGACGGGACTCTGGATGAGGGGACCTGTCCGATCCCTGAAGGGCCGAGAGGCGGCAGCTCTCCCGRCTGGCCGCAGCCCGAGCGAGACCACGGCCACGTGGGAGAGACGGACTGATAGGAGGGCGAGGACATGGGGGAGGTGGTGGTGGAGGAGGTGAAGTATGAAGGGTGGAGGTGGGTGTCCTGGGCCGGCGGCACCGCTCCGTGCAGACAGAGGGCGGCGGGGTGGTCAAAGCCGTTTGACAGCTGAAGGTGAGTGGATGGAGAGGCAGAAACAAGTGAGAAATTAAACCATGGTTTATGGCCGATGATATGAAAACAACACAAATGAGTCGTCTCGTGCTTGTGAAGCCCTGCACCCTGAACATGAACAGAAACCTGCTTTCACGCGTGTTCACCTGCTGCTGCCCGGAGCTGGGCTCGGAGCGGGAGGGGGAGGAAGAGGAGGAAGAGGAGGCCTCCTCATTGACACACTGAGAGAACAAAGCAGAGACACACACACACAGACACACAACTGCAGCAAAGCAAAACGAAGCACACGACACAGAAACTGAGCCAAACGGTTACAGGACGCACGGAAAACAGGAAGCGCGACGACGAGCAACGAAAAAACTGGAAATCTCAGAAGACGTGAAGCACGGAATTTTAGTGAGCACACGTCAAAAACAACAAAATAAAAGAAGATGGGTCGATACGTGCAGTGAAAAGTGACTTCAGCAGCAGGCATTATACTCTATTCTTTACAAATATAAGTAAAAGATAAGTAAAGCAAAAGATACGTTGAATGGAATAAACTACGAAACAAATCGTTTTTTTAAATTATCAAAACAGATGAGGACATATGGAGCGCCAAGTGTAAAATAAATTGTTAAAAAATGTCACTAACATATCTTTTATTATTTAGCTCACTTTTTGAGTGCTAAAATTTATTTCACTAACATTTCGTTGTTATTTAGCTCACTGTATTTAGCAAATTTTTACTAAACGTTAAATTTAAATGTTAAATATTAAATCATAAATCTAAATGTTTAAATCTATCACCTATATTGTTTTTTATGAACACATTTTGAATGTAGATTTTAAAAATTAGCGTTCGAAGAAGTTAGCATCAGCTAACCCAGATGATGTCATCA